AATTGTGCATACGGACGAGTGGAAAGGCTACGATTCCTTGTCATCTCTGGGTTACATTCACCATAGAGTGAACCACTCGAGTGATTTCGTCGATCCTGTTACTGGGACTCATACCAATTCAATTGAAGGTTTTTGGGGGAGATTGAAAAATAGGATCCGGGCTATAAATGGATCGGAAAAGGATGTCATTTGGACGAATATATGTACGGAATGTGGTGCGACTTTTCTATTGACAGTCCCATGTTGAATTGGGAGATGTTTTTGTCTCATGTTCGAGAAAGATATCTCTTCATTGCAGATAGTCAATGCGAGTGAAAGCAGCGCAGACGTAAGTGGAATTTTTGGTGAATTAATGCTTGGAAGGCGTTTCTTCAGCTGGGAGGAATCATTAGGGGAATTTCAAAAAGTGAGGAAGTCATTTAATGCTAACAATGTAGTTGTCCTGCACTCACTATGTTCATATTTATAGCAAAACAATAGCGGATGACAGATTTAAGTACGCTTACGTTGGTTTTGGAGGGCATCGTGGAAAAGCTGGCTTGAAATTGAGAAACAAGTCGTAAGAAGGAGCATACTATGATATTTAAGGTCTAAATGTTGCAATTGTCCGTCTTCATTTCGCGTGGTTTTGCATTGTAGTGAATACATAATTACTTCTCACAAAATGGTGCATAAGCATCCATGTAGCAGGGTGTACATGCAGAATGACCCATGGTCTAGACGACTAACAGTGGAAGAGAAAGAAGACGTGGAACCACTTCTTCAGCAATCCCACTCATCCTATGAAATCATGATGCATGTTAAGGGAAAGTTACACAAGGACATAAGTCGTAATGACGTTAGAAATCTGAAAGCCGCAGTTAGTAAAGGACCGTTGACGTAATTGTTAATTACTTAAGGCATGTCGAGCCGTAGTGACATTTTTCAATTCCTGAAGTCCCGTGGGAAGTTAATGGAGTATTATTCAGATGAACCGATAAGGAATTCACTAACAAGTCTTTTTCGACTTATGAGCAAATTGAGTTGTATAAACAGTTCCCGGAGGTTGTTGGTATCGACTCTACAAATAAAGGGAAGTAAGTTTACCAATTCATTAGTCAACATGCAGGTATTCTTTGGTCCAATTAGTTGTAACGGATAATTTTGGTCGTGGGCGGCCAGTTTTATTTGCTTGGACTCGAAAGGAATTCAAACGTGATGTAGTCTGGATTTTGGACTCATTTCGTGAAATAATGGAAGATACTGAAATCTTCGATTATTTCACGAAATGAGTCCAAAATCCAGACTACATCACGTTTGAATTCCTTTCGAGTCCAAGCAAATAAAACTGGCCGCCCACGACCAAAATTATCCGTTACAACTAATTGGACCAAAGAATACCTGCATGTTGACTAATGAATTGGTAAACTTACTTCCCTTTATTTGTAGAGTCGATACCAACAACCTCCGGGAACTGTTTATACAACTCAATTTGCTCATAAGTCGAAAAAGACTTGTTAGTGAATTCCTTATCGGTTCATCTGAATAATACTCCATTAACTTCCCACGGGACTTCAGGAATTGAAAAATGTCACTACGGCTCGACATGCCTTAAGTAATTAACAATTACGTCAACGGTCCTTTACTAACTGCGGCTTTCAGATTTCTAACGTCATTACGACTTATGTCCTTGTGTAACTTTCCCTTAACATGCATCATGATTTCATAGGATGAGTGGGATTGCTGAAGAAGTGGTTCCACGTCTTCTTTCTCTTCCACTGTTAGTCGTCTAGACCATGGGTCATTCTGCATGTACACCCTGCTACATGGATGCTTATGCACCATTTTGTGAGAAGTAATTATGTATTCACTACAATGCAAAACCACGCGAAATGAAGACGGACAATTGCAACATTTAGACCTTAAATATCATAGTATGCTCCTTCTTACGACTTGTTTCTCAATTTCAAGCCAGCTTTTCCACGATGCCCTCCAAAACCAACGTAAGCGTACTTAAATCTGTCATCCGCTATTGTTTTGCTATAAATATGAACATAGTGAGTGCAGGACAACTACATTGTTAGCATTAAATGACTTCCTCACTTTTTGAAATTCCCCTAATGATTCCTCCCAGCTGAAGAAACGCCTTCCAAGCATTAATTCACCAAAAATTCCACTTACGTCTGCGCTGCTTTCACTCGCATTGACTATCTGCAATGAAGAGATATCTTTCTCGAACATGAGACAAAAACATCTCCCAATTCAACATGGGACTGTCAATAGAAAAGTCGCACCACATTCCGTACATATATTCGTCCAAATGACATCCTTTTCCGATCCATTTATAGCCCGGATCCTATTTTTCAATCTCCCCCAAAAACCTTCAATTGAATTGGTATGAGTCCCAGTAACAGGATCGACGAAATCACTCGAGTGGTTCACTCTATGGTGAATGTAACCCAGAGATGACAAGGAATCGTAGCCTTTCCACTCGTCCGTATGCACAATTGATCCCCTTTTCACAAGTCGAGTTATTATAGGGATCAAAGTGCTCGCCTTCCTGTCTCCTATCCTTTCAACAAACCCTTTTCGAAGGGACGTGTCCTGACGACCCTGACTGTATTTCTTCTTTATCAACACTGTCTCGTCTACATGGACTACTACGTCCTCCCCGCCTAACAGTGAAGTAATTCTGTCCATTTTCCATGATGCGATATCTCTACAGTGCTGATACCATTGGACTGTTGAGACGAGGCTATTCTCCGTCTCCGCAGCTGCCGCTCTCACTGGCTGCTTCAGTACCCAATAGTTGCAGATATACAAAATCTGGGTTAGAGAGAGATGCGACCTAGCAAAACAAGTTCCTACAAAATATTAAAATTAGCAGCTTACCCTCTCTAATACTAACTCGTTTCCAACATATTCCACAACGATGGACAAATCCATCAGTTGACCTGGTATAGCTTTTCAGAGTCATTATACCACCACAGGAATACCTTCTCTCCTTTCTTAGCAAGCCTAAGTCTAGGCAATACTGAAAGACACTATCCTCCTCGAATTGCAAATGTAACCTTGTAAGGGCACGCATTGGAAATGAATAACCAAGCGCTTAAAGTGTAACTTGGCCGGTAGAATAGTCAAAATTTACATTTATATTCATCACATCTGTTGGCAAACAATGCATGACGCAAGCACGCAAGGCTGCACACGACATCACTTACCAAGGAACAATCAAATATCAAACTGACCGCCACTGTTCTAGCCAGTGAAATATAAGAATAAAACTTGGGCACTGTGGTAGAGTGTAATTCCATTATGGGTAAATTTTATTTTGATAAAGTCTCACAGTGTTATACAGTAATATTTACTGATCAGTAAATAATGGAACTAGCCAATGAAAGACGAGAAAACCTGAGACGCGGAAAATTTAACACGCCATAACGTATATCCTCACCCTTGCTAACTGGTATGTTGCTGGTATTTTTGCCGTTGTAAAACCGGAGAAGTGCCATCTGATCTCATTTTTTGTATTTTTAAGCGGGTATTTTTCATAGTTGTGATATATGGGCACTATGACGATTTCTAGGTCATAAATCCACCAGAAAAATGCTATTCTCGGCGAGATTAAAGTACCATAGCCAAAGTCATCTTTCAGAAGTTGATCTTCAAGGACAAACCATACGCAGGAAATACCATGAAATTTCATTCCAAATCAAATCACGCCTGCCTTTTTGGACTTGAAGAGGATAGATACAGCATTCTACTTATTCACTAGGTACTTTCTCTGCAAATCTATACCGTTAGGTAGGGTAATGGAGTTTAAGATTAAAGTTTAGGGTTTAGAGTTAAGCTTAGGATTTAAAGATATCGTTGGAGTTAGGAGTAGGTTGAAGAATAGTGTCAGAAATATCAATGTATCTAACTTAAGTCAGAGATGATTGGCAAGTAGTGGGAAGCAAGAAGCTGGTGAGGGAAGTTGTGTCGTCCGTACTGCGCGGTGAACCAGGTCGTGTCCTTATTCAATCTTAATTAACACCCGTGATGTGCAGTGAATTCATTATTTTTACTACTTTACGATGAACGTGTAATTTGAGATGTTTCGGCCGCCACAACCTGCAGTCACCTGGATGAATGCATATATCGCGCATGGTACGATTTCTCTATGGATCATCTGTGTATTGACTGGGAGACACTCTTACAACAAATAAGATAAAACTACACAGTGTAGTACCAAGTTTGCAATATTTTTAGTGTTTTTCAACGATTATACGACATTTTTGTATCCGAATTCTGACTGGTTGTTCAAGATCACTGTGGTTTTGTCTATGATAGTTTAACTTTCCCCTATCCCCAGCTAGCATTGACTTCGGGTACATTGTGGAAACTCAAGGCCACTCTTCGGGCGCACTGCATACCTTTGGGAGAGACTTAGGGTACAGTGCAGACAACTTTCCCGCTCTCTTTAATGCACCCTAAGTTTATCTTTGACCGAAATGTTTGCAGTGGGCCCGGAGGTGCTAACTGGGTTACTTAATCAGCAAAGATATACATGAGTGTAAAAGTTTCTATTCTTACTGAAAACCATGCACAAGTGAATACTGTTCACATCTAAAAGTTTGACACTTGAAACATTTACATCTGCTTGTTTTCCGCGTTCGTCCAGTCATAAGCAGATTGATGAATTACCGGAGTCAAGGCAGGTGTTCTTGGAGTAGCAGCAATATTCCACCCTTATTTTCTGTTGATAACGTGTGTCTAGATGGTTTGATTGTCTCCATTGCTGGTTCTATGTCGGCAGTCACGGGGAAGTTTTATGAGACATGGAATGGTGTTTCTCTGGCTGAGACAGCTGGTAGTGGTCACAGTAGTAAGAGAAAATGCACTATTTAGTAGCATGAAGCTGTGATAGGCAAAAGTGTTTTGGTGGCACCTGTGGAGTTTCGCGCCAACAAGTCGACAATGGTGACCCTTTTTTCACCTTTTCAGATAATCATCTTTGGCGTAGATGTGGTTCCAAGCTATTGAACAAAAGATGTGTGTACTTTGCAGTAGCTGGCTGCGCCTATTGAAAGTGGTAGATATGAAGAGGTCAGTTATCTCTGACCACTGATTCTCGCGTCCTATATCTTGTGTTAGGTGTAATAATATGGTGAGCAATATTGAGGTCCGTGTACCAAACCAAAAGCACACTTACTGTATGGGGATAGGTGGTACTACCCAGTTGTCTAGGCTGAAAGAGGCAAAGCAGGACTCAAACTTGAAATCCACTGACCAGAAGCCTGTGTGCCTAAGCTAATGAGTCCCATCTCCAGAATAATGAGGTTAAGAGTAGTGTTAGGTAAGAAAGGAAAGTCAATCGTTGAGTCTGCGAAACTGACGAACGACCACCTACCTCATCGAGAAATGTAGGCTGACATAAGATTAGGTTGGAAAGGATTTGGAGGCAATTAATTAAAGACGTGATATTGATCCATGAAGTCTTTGACTGTTGGTTTTAGTCACGCATGCAGGTGCAGGCTGGTTGGGTCCCTCAAACGCTAAATACTAGTGGTTGGAGACTGTTGGTGATATGGTTAAAAATCGTTCTCATTGGCGCAGATGCATTCACTGTTTATAAACTCCTAGATCCATCACATTCTCTGTTTAGTTCTTCCTTTCGTGCGTTTCCGTTTATTACGGCTTATTTATAGTTTTTCTCTACTTCTGTGTGCTTCATAAAATGTGGCAACTTGGACTGCTGTACTCATGTGTAAATTCAGTCCAGTTACTCAACAACAACAACAACCTGCATTTCCATACAGTTAACAATGAACCAAGCCGTTGAGATTAATGGCTAGTGATGCAAGAGACTTTGAAGCAGTTAATAAGAGTAAATCAGGCTACTTTAATTAAAAGAAGCGTTGAAAGAAGTACGGGAATACTAGATAGGTTCCTTGCCTTGAAACGTCACACAAATAACTCCCAGTTCTAAATAAGAGTGTCGGTATTCATCCAGATGATGACCATTGATGGACGTAAGCTGATTTTGCATTGCAGCATAGCTGACTTATTAGTTGCCCGAAGGAAACACTGTGTGCTGTAATATACCTATCGTCTTCACACCCGCTTCATGGGGCAAGCTATTTACCCTGAGGTAGTGACAGCTTTTAGTCTCTGTTACCACGATAGAATCTGCAGGAAGATTCGTTATAGGTAGTGTGGCTTGGGTCATTGCGACATACAAGCCCGATCATCAGGTTTCATTTGGCTCTGGACTTTAATGGCAGGAGGACGTAAGGAAGCATTACGGAGATGGCTAGCAAACGTTGGTACCGGCTAATGATGTGTTGGGATCTGGTCAAAGATTCGGAATTCTGCAGATTACGTGTTGCAGCAGCAGTGTTGCTTATGAGGAGTTGAATGAATAACTGTACTTGGGTCCTGTATTAGTACAACATACATTCAAAGACTGATTTAATTCATCTTTATCCATGTAAATGTGTGTAATTTAATACGAGATACTGTTGAGTCAGTTTGGAGGGTTTCTACATTTATCGTATATTTTATGGGTATGAAGTACATACCAAGCCAGTATGTCTTACCAACGCTGTCGACTAACAAGAATATTGTGTATGTGTGTGTGTGTGTTCTAGACAGAAAATCGATCCCCACGGGGACAAAGAAAGCGGAGTTATTTCTTTCAGTAGATCAGTCTTTCTTTGTAAATTGTAGTTACTGCAGTAACTGAAGCAAAAGAGAGATGCAATATGTGTATGTGGCAGCAGCTGACTGCAGGTTTTATTTAAGTGTATTACTGGTTTTTATTTTGTCATGCATCTGCTACATGCGAAGCTAGAATTTGTTGTTTAGGATTTCCTCCTTATTGAAAGCCTGTTTACTGTGACTTCCTGCTTCTTTTGTACATTGTACGTTTCAAACTTTAGAAGTGTGGAAATATATTCCTTTTTTGCAATTGACTGTGTTAAGGCTGTAGAGATGTAAAACTGACACCAGGTTGATTTCATGCTTTTTTACTAAGTTGGAAAAACGTTTAATATGCATTACATAACCATTTTGATGTGTTGTTAAAACTTGTGTAATTATTGTCATTTTGTCTACAGATCTAGATAAAATGCGCCGCTTAGACTGCTGTCTGTTTGCTCTTTACTTGGCTGTTACGGAAATTCTTGTTTATGTGGCTTCTGAAGAATTGTCTGTGTCGCCTATCGCTCAAGCATTACGTGTTGGTGAATCTGGGATTTTTGAGTGTTCTACAGAAAACTCAAGCCATGCCTCATACCTACAGTGGGTACTTAATGATGATACAGTTCTTCTAAATGGTAATCAGTCAGCAGATGGTCGATTTGCTAATGAAAATGGTATCCTGACAATGAGTAATCTTACTTTACACCATTCTGGTGAATATCAGTGCTTCGATCCTGAGACAAATAGCAATGTAACAAGCCATCTAAAAGTGTATATTATGCCATCTTATGTACTCGAAGGATCTATTGTTATTGCTGTTAATGGTGTCCTCTTGATCCTATTTATCTATTCAGTCATCAAGACTTATCGGGAACAGAATCGAAAAGATCGTATGCATGCTTTTTAAATAGTGTTTATTCAATAAAGACAGGCTGGTACATGCACAAAATGATTTCATCCTTCTTCTTTTTCTTTATGAATGTAAATGTATATAATTTAGCACAAGATAATTTGGAGTTGTACTTTCTAGTAGCTATGTGGCGTGTGTTATTGAGAAGATTTATAACTAGTATATAGATGGGAAACACCACAACATCCAGCTGTATCTTCGTTTCATGTTTTCCATGTTGTTTCGCAAGCATTCTTCATTAAATCCATCTCTCTGCTGTTCGATATTCTTCCAGCTGATGTACACATTTATATCTGCATCTATATACTACTTATATTCATGTTGTATTACACGCCACAGCTATAGCATATATATTTGTATAGAGAGAGTTATTTAGTGTTAATTCATTAGTTCCAATGTAGATTGCACTAATGCATTGATTTATTCTCGAATTTTTGTTTATTCTGTGGTCGAGAACCAGCAATTAGATCATGTACGTTGCGTAACTACTTTTTTCTTTTATGCGTTTTTATTGTGTTAACTCTGTGTGACAGAAACTTTCCTTCTTCCCTTCATGAACAGACGCTCTCAGTTACTGTGATCATATGTGGAAAATGTAGTTTCTCTTTATTGACTTCCAAAGATTGGATTTCTGCTCACGTTGTATCTGTAGTCTTTCAGTGAGCCCAGCGTCTAACTCTTTTCATTGCTTTCTCAGTTTTCATTTGTGTATACGTATATTTGTTGATTTGAAAGTGATTGAACAAAATATTCTGATAATAATGTACTTGAGTTTTTATAAAGCGTTGTGTCTTTTCAGAAGAAAAAGATTTGTGTGGGCCGAAAACTGAAGCGTTTAACTCTTTGTGACTGGTTGTTATTCTGCCTTTTTTGAACGAATGCTTAGTATATTACTTAGAAAGCCTTGTTACATCATTGGAATTTATTGTGCGTGTGTGTGTGTATATATATATATACACTGGAAATGGTTTACAACAGACAACTTCTGAGAAATGTGAATTGCTTGCATGATAGCACAGAGAGAAAAGTATGAGACACGAGGATCGACTAAGGTGTACGATTTTGCACAAAATAAACGAAAATAAGCTACTCAAGGTTCTGACTTAGTTTTCAAGGTAGAAGTTTGCAGAAAAGTGTGACATTCGGAGTTGTCACGTCGGATCAAGTAAACATTAAGGTGGAATGAGGAAACTGCGACAAACATGAATGTAGGGGAGAGAGAAGTATGCAAGTTTAATAGATCTAGGAGATTGGAAGTAGTGAATGCATATCCACTATTGAAAACCATTTTCAGTCGTGTCACCACCAGTTTCGAGTCACTGGTTCTTAGCATGTCAGGGACCTGAGGCAGTCTTCACCTTTCTTCATGGCTTATATCATAGACTTGATGGATTGATTTTATATTTTTATTTGACCACTCGTAACTCAAGGTTATGCGAACCCACAGAGTGAATAGAGTCTGTCAATCTTATTCTATACGACAGCTGATATCGTGTTTGAAGACAGTTGCTCGGATCTGATGTGTCATATTCTAGGCTATGGGTGACGCTTATTTTGTGGCGGCTGATGATACTGCTGAAGCTAAGATAGGTGGAGCGGGACTGGGACATGAGACGCATTGGCTGAAAGTGTAGTGTTTAAGGCATTGAGCCACACTTGTAATACCATGAAAACTGAAGTGAATGATGACTTCAGCTGATTCCTACCTTATCTCTGTTTAACCCCCTAGCTTTCTATTGACTAGACCGCTGATTGATTAAGCAGCTTTGTTCATCAGCTGGCAATGAAGACGGTTATCACTGAATTGGTTTTCGTGTACTGTTGGAAGTGTATAATTATCTGGTTGTGTATACTGATATATCCTGAGTGCTATATAACTAGAATAAGGTGAAACGTTGCAAAGAGGTGCATTTCATATTTGTGGGCAGAGAAAGGAATAAGTAAACATTCTTAGGAGTGTTAATATATGGTGGGAAAGTTGTGATGTTTTTACGTGGGCAGCCATGTTATAGAATTTTCGAGTAGAAAAGTGTAAGCTGCTACTCAATGTATTTACTCCCTTGATAAGTGACCGTTGGCAAAGGTGACACGGTCACAAGTTATGGAATACTGTCGTAGCTGATAATTTACATCTGTGGCTTACGGCCTTAAGCAAGACTTTTCACTATTCGGTCCTACACTCAAATCTCACCATACATAGTTCGCATTGATCAGCCAGTTGTTATTATTGGTCTTCTAATTCGAATTCCCTATATTGCTTCCCAGTTAATATCCTATTAATATCATAAGTTGTATAGGCACTTCAAATGTGCGAATATTCTGAAAAGCTTGTTGGCTGAAAACATTTCAACTAGTTCTTTGCTTAAAGTAGGTCGTTTTCGAAAATCACTCAACATAATAATCATTTTCAACTGATTTGTTGAAAATAGGAATTGAATAGTAATTAGAACAACACATTTAAGCGAACAATATTGTTTTCAATTAGATCTCATCAGGCTTAATTCTGATATATATAAGTTTGCAAATAAAAATTCAAATATAAACCAATCATGGTGTTTTGTCTATAGGATAATACGATGTTGAATATAAATTGTGCAATTAGTCATAATAGTAGTAATGATAGTAATAATAAAAATGGTCTTATCAATAATAAGGATGAAAAAGTGAGGCAATCTGTGATAAGACGAATAATGAAAAAAACAGTATGATTAAACAAACAACTATTCAGGTGGATGTAGTCGATAAAGGCTAGTAAAAACAAATGAGCCGATTAAGTAGTGTTAGATTGTAAGGGAAGGAAATGAAACACGTTTATATATTGAAGATAAGATTAAGGGTTGATAAGAAAGGGGTTGGAAATATAAACAAAGGGTGGTGTAGAAGTCATTAGTTGGTTATGTCTTAATAGGCCAAGGGAGGGATAATTAGTTGAGATCTTAGACATGGGACATTGATGTTTCGTGGATCCAGTGGTGAAGGAAACTGAAAGTTTGTCACCCACTTGTAGAAATTCAAGTGTCCCACTATCATATCTAAACTAGTAAATAAGCACAACAAAAAATGTGAATGCAGCGTGTGTGAAGAGATTTCGTCTTGAAACTGGATAAGTATAATGTATTAAAAAGATTGACAACCTGGAAATACTCAAAAGAGTAATGAGACGTGGACACATCAGTCTCGGAGAGAAGAGAACAGAAGTATCTGCTAACTGTCTTCAAGAAATATGGATACCTCCACAGTTTCATCAAAGCATATCCTAACTCGAATCCAACTAACAGGGAGAGACTTCGTCCTACCATTTGTGATGTGTCTGAAACAATGACTAGAATACTAAAACCATTTGGAGTGGATATCGTGCACAAACCAGGAGATTCATTTCATTCAGTACTATTCAGACCGACATACCCAACAGCAAAATAAGACAAGGTTAGCGCTATTTACAAAATAAATTACACCAACTCTGGGTAGCAGTATTTTGGAGGTCATTTTCGACTTCGAATCCAATAACATGAAATAGCCAGCGAAAAACATCACATGTATTCCTCCGTATCAATATATGTAAACAATTATGGACACCATTTTGACAGGGAGAATGTAGAAATTGCGAACAGTGGAGGCATCGAAATTGACAGAGAATTCCTAGAAGCTTGGTAATCAGATCAATCTTCACTGACATAGACAGATAAAATTTATCAGTCAATAAATAGAGAACAAGCCATATGGTCAAGAGGTCGAATACTAGGTCAGCGAAATGATCGATATGAATACAAAGTCGCACCAATAGAAGGATACTTGTGTCATCTATGGAGAATTCTGGAAGATTCACTTCACAGTGAAGTAATAGCTGAAGATGTTTAGATGGACAGTGGAATCTCCACAGTTAAGTTATCTTGTTCATAGAATGTAACCACATCAGAAACATCCGCCTGTGCTCCATTTCTTCTGCATTATTTCAGAGATATGACTGCTATCTTTGGAGTTCTGGATATGACAGCCCAAGAGGTTGTCTGTAAAATATAATTGAATAGTTTAACCCAGTTTCCTGTCATATCCTCTCAAAGTACATGTTTCTGAGGCGCTTGTAATACTACCCATTGGGGTTCACTCTCAGTCGTGACCGACTCAAAGTCAAGTGGACAAGCTAATAAGCTGTGCACCAAGTTATCTGTAGTTAGGCTGGAGGCAGTGAAAAACTGTACTTGACTAAAATTCACTAAATTGACTAATCTCTATTAGAATATCGTGTCATTTAGCTCAAAGATTAGAGCACTTTTGTGGAACTAATATATTTGAGAAACATAAACAATGCTAATGTATGTAAAAAATATGTGGCTTACATAAGTTAAGAAATGTCACATGTGATTCAGTTTCATTTTTGTGAAATATTGATTATTGCTAAATAGTTTTTTAGGATGAAACAACAATGGTTTATGTGAAGTTAGTTATGTGTGGTGGTGATCAGTTAGAGGGCTGTGTGTTTAGAATAGTTTCGAAGTGCCTGTCTACGGAATGCACTATATTTTCAAACTGAAAATCTCTACTTTGTACATTAAATGTAGATTTCTGTGCTGTGGTATGATCCGCAACTCTCGCGTTAGTGTTTTGAAGCCATAACTAATTGGTGTCCTGTAAAGCGATCACGGTTGTTGTCCGATGATATGTTTGTATAGTAAACGCTGAGTACGGCTGACATACTTTACTGCATAGGAGCAGGTGAATTAACAGATACACATTCAGAAGTCCTGAAGTAGTAGCTGATCCTTCACGTTCATT